TTCTCTTATTTCTTAATTAAAATATAGGGTAACTCATGCATATACTTTTTTTCTGCCTTAAACAATCTTATCCTTTAATTAAACTATCCACAAAATGCAAAAAGAAATAGGGTTTGCACAATCTTGTCGTATGATAAAGTAGTTGTTAAATTGAATTGGGTTGGATTGGATCTACAAAATCTGCCAATAGGGTTAGCACAATTGTTCCTCAAAAAAAAAAACCAGGAAAAGGGTGTATTTTTGGGTCAGAACACTGTTATAGGGAAGGGGACGACGAGTTCGGATTTGCAACCTTAAAGTCCAATTAGGCCTGTTGCTAGCTTCAAAAGAAAAGGGTTGACTATTCGGGAATTAGGTAGTTAGTGTCCCACTCAATATCCACAATGGTATAAGATTTGTTTGTTTTTCTAGTAAATAATGTTTGTTGCAACAGCATGCCTCAAAACAATAGATAAATTCCAATTGCGTTTAATCAACATGTGGATCCACTCACAAGAATTTTTTTTTATAAAAAAAGGGNCGATACAAACCTTGCATTCTCCTCTCTCTTCCTCCCTCTCTCTGTCTTTGTGTGTGTTTTTCTTTGGTGATGGGGCATCTGATTTGTGCTTCATAAAGAAATATGTCTTAGTATGAATGCAATTTGGTGATTATCATTGTTGATTTATGGATCTGAAACTAGTTCCCATGTATTTTGGTTGGGGTTTATTTGTGTGTATTCTTATTTTCCTTTGACTGTGGGGACATCTAGTTTCCCCTTTGCATGAGAAAATTCTTTGTGGACTCAGATTTGTGATTTTCGTTATTGATTGAAAGGTCTCAAACAAAATACCAGATTGTGTTAACAAAGACGGATTTGGTATTCCCAATTGATGTGGCACGCCGTGCAACGCAAATTGAAGAGGTATTACTTGAATCCATCAACTTTTTTCTTATGTCTGTAACGCTTGCCCGTTGGACTACTATTCATATGTATGATGTGGTTTTGTAGAGCCTCAAAGCAAAGAAGTCTGTTGTGCAGCCTGTGGTAATAAGTTTAATTCTTTAATTTGATTTGATGTTTTGCCCAGTATTGTATAGGACTAGCTTAGTACTTTGGCTTTGGTTTTTATTCCAGATGATGGTAAGCTCAAAAACTGGAGCTGGTTTCCAATGTTTAAGAACGGCGCTTGCTAAGGTTGCTCGGTTTGCAAAATTGTAGAAGGTATTTTGGACGAAGTTTCATGTTAATTGCAGTAAAATGTCAGTTTCTATCAAATTGAAAGTATAATTTTGGCCCAAACCTTACCTAAACCCTTCAATCATTTTTGGGTTTGGATATGACTCCTAAATAACAATGACCAACCGGATTTCTTTTAACATGGAGATCAATCCGATTAATATACTGGGTTTCAGTTCATCAACCGTTCATCATATCATCTGATAATGTTGGCAGGTTCGGTGGTATTGAACTAACCTCATCTTGACCCAGTTCCCTTAGATTTTACTTTAATGGATTTGCATCCTCTCACATGCACTTTTCTGTCAATTCTCTCAATGGCCACCCATCATGTATGATGTGACGTCACTTCGAATCATAGTATATGGTCTAGCATTGGGGAAATTGAAAGGATGGTGTACTGAAGTTGATCTGAGTCCCACTAATAAGGGTTGTACATAAAGCTTAATTCTTCTATACTGTTGATACTGGCTCCCAGTTGGCTATGCTGTGTTGACATAGGTCCCAGGATATAGCATATTACATTAGGGCTCAACCTCCACTGATATCATGTGAGGTTAATGTGGTCTGTTTGTGTGCAGATTGGAGGCTGAACTGTTTTTTCGAAGTTATCTGGCTATCTAGCCAGCCAGTTTCATCTTGCTTGACAATATTTGTAGAACGGAAAGGTATCCAGTGGTAAATGGTGTCTTTAAGGAATTTATTCTCCCATTTTTCAAAACTGAAAGTCGGGAACGTGTGGATTAAGATTTTTTTCTGCTGAGTATTCGTGGGATCCTTTGGCAAATTACTCCGTTTATTTGGTGAGGAAAGTTACTTGCCTGTATATCTACTGACTAATGTGGTGCACTCTAGCTCTTAACGTGGTTCGAAGGTTCTACTAAATTTGTTGTCTGTGGTTCAGATACTGTCATGCCTTATATGTTGATCGAATCAACATATAAAAAGGGATTTGGATCCTTTGTGGTAAATACTTTGTCAAACTCGAAATAGTTGATTATTTACTATGTGTCAGTGGGAAACCTGCATATATTGTGAGTCCCTCTTGAATTAAGTCATCGGAATCCAAGTCCTTTAAAGAGCTAGCATTATGGGATGACTGTTGATTATATTGTTGATGTCATTACGATAGTGAAGGTGGTTAAAACATCACTATGGACGACCCTTTCACTTAGTTTATTGTTCATGCTCTTCTAGATATCGTAGTAGGTGTGTTCAATTTTGCATATGATCCATCAGGCAACTTGATTTGAAAACAAACTGGTCTGTTCGAGTGGTGGGGCAGTGTGTTTGAGTGATCACGGTAGCATGCAAATTACGCCAGTTTTATGTTCACAACCACAGGATGACAAATTCAAAGATTTGGTGACCTAACTTATATGTTGTGCGATTACTTTTATTGAACAATGTTATTGTGATTTAATTTGCTGATATAATCTCTCTTTGTCATTGGTTTGTGCTTGCATGAGCCAGTAAAAAATAGGAAGAAATTCACAATCTCTTATTTATTCAAATACATTCTGATTGTCTTGCATTATTATGTGACTCTGCCAGTTAAATTGAATTCTTTTTCTCTTATTTCTTAATTAAAATATAGGGTAACTCATGCATATACTTTTTTTCTGCCTTAAACAATCTTATCCTTTAATTAAACTATCCACAAAATGCAAAAAGAAATAGGGTTTGCACAATCTTGTCGTATGATAAAGTAGTTGTTAAATTGAATTGGGTTGGATTGGATCTACAAAATCTGCCAATAGGGTTAGCACAATTGTTCCTCAAAACAAAAAAAAAAAACCAGGAAAAGGGTGTATTTTTGGGTCAGAACACTGTTATAGGGAAGGGGACGACGAGTTCGGATTTGCAACCTTAAAGTCCAATTAGGCCTGTTGCTAGCTTCAAAAGAAAAGGGTTGACTATTCGGGAATTAGGTAGTTAGTGTCCCACTCAATATCCACAATGGTATAAGATTTGTTTGTTTTTCTAGTAAATAATGTTTGTTGCAACAGCATGCCTCAAAACAATAGATAAATTCCAATTGCGTTTAATCAACATGTGGATCCACTCACAAGAATTTTTTTTTATAAAAAAAGGGGTCCACTGAGGTGACTTTTAGAACTCCCAGTGCATAAGATACGTGTACAAATTTAATCTATAGCAATTTATTTTTGATTTATATATTCATAATACAAAAATTTCGGAATATTTGATAAATGAATTAAATATCCATTGTTGAAAGTTTTTGGTTGTAGAGCATAAAAATTTATCATCAATCATTTCTTCTTTGATTCGATAAAAGAATTTAAATTTCCAGTAATTACTAACAAAATGAATTGTAAACTTATGAATTATGATATTTGTTTTTTCTTTTATTATATAGATATAGATTAATATAAGATGAATTGTACTTTATACCCTAAAAGATTTTAAGTTTTTTATTTCACATTCTTAAAGATTAAAGTTTTTACATTGCACCTTTAATGTATCAAAATTGTTGCAATGTGACATTTTTGTTACTTTTTTCGTTAATGTCAATTTTTTATGAAAAAAATAACGGAATTTAATCGAAGGATCATATTGCTATCTAAAACGCCCATTAATATCTAGTCTATTCCTTAAGCCTCATGTGAATCGAATTTGACTCTCAAACGTTACAAGGATTATACTTTTTTCCTTACATATATACTCAGAATTCTATGCTAACTCAAAAAACACCAATGTAATTTTTCAAAATAAAAATTGGTACTAGAATATTCATTGCTATTCACTACATTAAAAAAAAAATGTACAGTTTCCCTTGGTAATTTATGCCCAGAAATGGGTAGAAAATATTGAATGTAACAATGACATTACATTACTTTTATTACTTTGATGTTATCAATTAATAATAAATTAACGTGTAATCAAATAAACTTCTAGTAATTATCATGTTCATACCAAAAAATAATAATTATGTGACACTCATAACGTGATATTACTGTTACATTCAATATTTATGCAAAAATGAGAAAAAAAAAATTGTTGGAGTTGTCTATGATGCTAGAAAAAAATTTGTTATTGTACGGATATTTACCTTATTTTTAAATATTTTTATCACTATTATGATTATTTTTATCATTGTTATAATATCAAAAAATATTAATAAAAATAATTATAACAAAAATATAAATAACAGCGATAAAAACACCAATAAATCGGAAAAAGTTTTGAGAGAAAGTGGACAGATTTAGTCGAATCACTATTGGAGGTTAAAGTGCAAAGCATTATTATGTGTATTTTGGATGACGAAAATAGTCAACAACGACCTACCGCCACTAATATGCTTTTCTTCAACAAATCCCTCTCTCTCTCTCTCTGGTGGTACTCGTTTTCTGAAGAATTCTCTCTCTAGAACCTCTGTCTAGAACCTGGACACAGAAAGAGAGCAATGTGTCCGCTGAGAATCATCTTGATCTTCCTTTCGGCCACACTTGCAGGGTTTTTCGTGCTGAGGAACCTCAAATCTCAACCACAAGTCGTCCACACCGACGATTCTGTCAATAATCCCTCTGAATCATCATCCACTTCTGACAAACAATCTTCCAAGGTCTTACAAATTTCTCCATTTCCTCTTCGTTTTTTATATCGATCCAGCTCTCTTTTGCATCAAATTCTTCGATTTTGCTGTATTAGATATGGATGTGTATGTAAAAGTACGAATGTGTGTATGCAATTGTAGGTTTGGGGGGCAATTGGGGCAGGTCTCTGGACCTGCGTGGACATGGCAAGCGGCCGCTATCTCTGGAGGACTCTGGTTTCATCTTCTTCTTCGAAACGCTCCGTCTGATCCTTTCCCTTTCTCTGTCCCTCCGTTTCTTTTCATGTCGTGGCTTGGTTGTTTGTTGCTTTTCGATGTTGCTGTCAATCGCTTCTACTTTGTACAATTGTAGTTAGCGGGTGTATTTTTTTGTAACAATAGCCATACCTTTGAACTCATCCCGATTCTCGAACCTGTAATGTTTCTCTTTTGTTATTATATGTTTTTTGTATATTCTATGGCTTCTTCTCTGCATTCATTTTTGTGGCTTCTTTTCGGTTTTCGTTTTGTTCGTATATAAATGGTATTCAGATATTGTGCAGGAGAAAGAATGCTTATAAGAGCATATATTTTTTGCTATTTTTGATTTGTGAAGCTGATTCTGATTGCTGCAAAGTGTAAACTGTCAATTTCACTGGAAATGTTCTCTCTTTTGTTTTCTCATATGCAAACTGTCATACATGATGTGGCCTACCTATTGTGGTGTTTGCAGAAAGCATGGTATCTTCGTGAATTATCAAATTATATGTCATTTAATGGTTATGATCCTAAAAGGAATGCATGTTATCACTCTGCATGAGTAGTTATTGTGCCTTGGGTAAGTTCATTACATTTATGTCTTCTCACATCTAATTTTCTCAGTATTAAGTTATTAATTATTTGACACCATTTTGCGAATATGTCAAACTTCTGCTCCCTCTCTTNGTTCATTACATTTATGTCTTCTCACATCTAATTTTCTCAGTATTAAGTTATTAATTATTTGACACCATTTTGCGAATATGTCAAACTTCTGCTCCCTCTCTTGTGCTAAATGTTTCTATGTTCCAAAAAGCAGCTTTCATAATGTCGGTATTTGTTTCAGGGTTTCACCCTCTATTGTTTGTATATGTAAATTCAATTTTCCATCTATTTCTCTTTGTTCGAATGTTCTACGTCTATCAACAACTTAATTGCTTGGTTTTACTACTTCTTCCTATATTGCACCCTCAACAATGGAAGTTCTCTCATATTCTCTGTTTTAATGGAGGATACATGAGAAGGATTTGTAACACAAGTTCCATCGGCTGGACCAGTGTTTCTTTAAAGTCTTCTTAAGAAGAGTCTAGTACTATGAGTCCTAAAGTATATCGTCCATGGGAGCTTCAGATGGTAATTCATGTAGGTTTATGTATGGTTGACTCTATAAATTGGAGCAGCTATTGTACCCCCAAAAGAGTGAAAAAAGTAAAGAGAGAAGGAAAGAAGAAAAAAAGAGAAAGAGAAAGCAAGCAAGCAGTAACAGCTTGATGTCGATGTTTGGTAGCTTTGTTTTTCGAATGTAAACAAAAGAGGATATCCATTGTACACTTTCATGGTCACTACTTTAAGATTTAGGGGGTTCCAAAATTGTGATGATTGTTTGTTACCTATCCCGCAGAGCATTTCTGTTGCGTAGTCTTATCAGCCCTTCCAAGTAGTGTAAGCATATATTCAAGTAACATAGATATTCGAATGTTGGACTTGGCGGACATCCAATGCTTAGTCCTTTGTCTCCAGAAGTTCCTTTGGTTCATCTAGCAATGGACATAGGGTTTCTAAGTTTATATAACTTGAACTTCTTGAATCTGACTTATTCTATGAACAAAAGGAAGTTCTTGGTGTTGATAGCAAGAAAACAAGGAACGAACAACTCACAATAAAGCACTTGAGTTGATCATGGAAACTCCTGGGAACATAAATTCTGATAATAGGTCTTGCAAGCAGTTTTGAGTCATTTCACATCTCCATTGGTTGATGTCTTTATGCAGACATTGTGTTCATTGCTAATTTGCTGCTCAGTTGCCCTGCATTCATAGGATTCGTATTGGTTACTTGTCATATGCATTTGGATCATGAATACTATTCGGAAAAGGTCTTCAATTTTGTGGTCTCGAGTGAGAGTAATTGTAGAAAGTCAATACTTGGGCACACTTACTTCCTGTTTAATTGGGTAACAAACTAATAGTGCCTGAACCTTGCTTCTAGATTAACTGCTAATCTCTCATGCCTAAATTTTGGGATGTTGACAGAAAAGTTGGTGTGTGTTTGGTGTACCTGGCTTTTAATCTAGACATGGATGTGATTGGTATGGAACTTGCCAACTTCATTAGTTTGGGTTTACTAGCTTTATTGCNGTGTACCTGGCTTTTAATCTAGACATGGATGTGATTGGTATGGAACTTGCCAACTTCATTAGTTTGGGTTTACTAGCTTTATTGCGCAATGGTTACTATTTTCAGCTAAGTGTTGGGATGGTAATTTCAATATTAGCCTTGGTCTATTTCTTTGGATATGCAAAGCTAGGGTTACCTTGGATATGTAAGTGTACACAGCAATGTTGCAACTTGTTGAATCAGAAGACAAGTTTTTACTTTTTAAGGTTGATTCAGACTAAGCATTTAGTTTCTTCGGCCTTGGGGATGAGGGTGTTATGGCACCGTACCTCCATTAATGGCAGGCATTGATTCTGAATTTGGATAATACACATCCATGTATTTGAAAAATGATATAAAAGTAATGAGAAATCATTTAAAAAAAAAAAAAAATTTGTATTCGTGGTGTTGCATTCTTATTGATTGAAATATAGAAGCATGACACTTAAAAGTGTTTTTGGGTACCGTAATGAAACTTGTGGATTCATGAACTTATGTGTTTGTTATTAGAACCGGATCAAATCGGTCAGTTGGACCGGTTAGACCGAGAATCGGATCTAAAACGGTCCAGTTTTTTAATTAGACTGCTTAAGGAATCGAACCAGTGAAAAATCGAAAAACCGGTGAACCTAAAACAGGCCGGTTCAAAACAACACCAGTCCTTTTGTCTTTGTCTTCGTCTTCGTCTCCATTGTTTTCAGATCTAACTCGAACAGTGGCCACACCACAGATCTCGACCTCCTTCTCAGCCATTGATCTCCTCCTGAGCTTTGTTAGTCTTCTTCTCCTCTTCATCTGAGTTCTCCATTTGAGTTCTGCGACATCGGAGTTCTGCCTCTTCAGGCTCCTCTTTCCTTTTATTTTATTTTAGTTTTTTCCTAATCTACAACCCAACACAGCAAGGAGTCAGCTGGTTCCAATCGAGTCGTGTTGTATCGAGTTCATGTCGTGTCGAACATTAGTCAACTCATTTTCAACCCATTTAATTATTTGTGTCGTGTCGAGTTGACCTGTTTATTTTCATGTCGTGTTCGTGTTCATATTCGTGTTGATTTACATAAACTTTAAATAAAAAATTTAATACTAAGATTTTATTTTTACTTAATTGAATTTCTCCTCATATTTTTTCTACAAACTAAAAATTAACTTAATAATAATAATAACAACAATAATGAGTAATAATATCTTTTTTATACAATAATTATGTCAATATTTGATAAACAGTTACAAATAATTAATATTTTATTTATATAATATTAATTAAATATGTTAATTGTACATCATACAATCAAATTAAACATCAGAAGTAATAAAAAAAAAAGTCATCAAAACATGAAAACTTATACATGCAACGAAAATGTCAAGTCAATCTCCTTCGAATTAAAAACTTTGTGTTGACGGGTCAATTCGTGTTAAACGACTTGAACCCGAACACAATTCATTAATATTTCGTGTTGGCGGGTTGTGTCATACGCGGGTTGTGTCAAAAAATTAATCAACTCAAACTCATTTATTTGTATCGTATTTCGTATCAAGTTAATTAAAAATTGTCACCCCTAGTTCCACTGTCTCTCTCTCTCTTCACGTGCACACACACACGGTGAACCTGTACAGTCAAAAAAAACACCGTACACTATATAATACATACAATAAATTTTATTATGATTATGATTTTTTAAATAAATTATTATATAAAATAATTTTTTTATTATAAAATCGGTTTGACTAGTTGATCCAATGGTTGAACCACTGAACCATTGATCCGATCTCTTTGCCGATTCGATTTCCGATCCAATTTTGATGACATTGTCTACTACAATTTCCAAATGCCCTTAAGTTATTTGCATTAAACACAAAGTAGATGCTGCTCGCAGGGCCGGCCAGCCCCATGCTTGCCTCTAGGGTCCCAAATTTTAGAGGGTCTCGTAATATTTATTCTTTTAGTACAATAGGACTAATTTTTTTATTTTTTTTTAGATATGATTAAAATTTTAGGGCCTAAATTTTATTAGTTCAGATTAGTATCTAATTTTATTAGGTCAAAAATTACTCTCTACTTGGTTAAGCTCACATTTTGGAGGCCTCCATAAAATTTACCACTTTAGTATAATAGTCTTTTTTTTTTTTTTGTATTTTAGATATGATTCAAATTTTCAGAGTTCAAATTTTAATAGTTTAAGTCAATATCTAATTTTTTTGAGTCCAAAATTACTCATTTGTGTGGGTTTTGATTTAAAATTTTTTAAATATTTTGGGTGTGTTCATAGTTGTATTTCACTCATTCACATAAAAAATTTATATTCATTAATTATTGCGGTGAAAATCTATAAAATTGGTTCTTTTTTTGTCTTAATATAAATTTTTATTCCAAATAATTTATATTTAAATTGTCTATGTTATTAAAATTTTGTATTTCATGCGTGTACATTATTCGTGGGTAAAGAATAATTTTTTGTTATCTTAAAATTATTTTTTGCTCACATATTATATTATTAAATTACTTGTTGAAAACTGATAAAATTTTATTTACAATCCACTAAGAGTGAATGAATTAACAATATTATATATTAAAAAAATTTATTATCAAAACTTGAGTATAAAAACTTGATCAATATTTTAATTTTTTTAAAGCAAAAAAATTATAATGATTAAAAATAAAATATATTAATAGACAAAATATTGTTAGGACCTAGTATGAAAATTTTGCCCAGCTCCGCTTTATCTTGGCCGCCTCTAGCTGCTCGTAGCAGCTACCACTATGTAGGTTGGATTTGGAGTTAATCACCAAAATACAGCAGTTTATAAAAAAATTTAGCAAGATACGGAACTTTTGAACATATTTATCACACAATACCATTTTTTTAAAGCGGATTCAATAACTCCGCTCCGGGGCGAAATAATTTGGGTAATGAGAAAAGCGTTTTTTACGTTTTTTTTGTGAAAAACGTGTGTATTAAACACGTTTTTTCACTCAAAACAGGGCAGGTCGCTGGTTCAAAAACTAGAGAGAAGTGAAACTTGGCTGTGTCAAATTCGACTGCAAAGGTGGGTAATTTTCTGTTTTTTCTCTGTGGTTCACTTCAAGACAGTCAGAAATGGAATTGGACAGCCGAAAATCACCAAATGCATTGGTGAATTTGGAGATGACTTGTCGGACTTCATCGATGGTGGACCTCACCGAACTTACGAACTCGGAAGCTGAAACGTTCAAGCATCTCAATCAAGATCTGATAAAGCCTGATTTGCACAGCCCTTGTACGCCAAGTTGGTGTTATCAAGGCAGATTCAGCTGCTGGATCATCTGAAGGTTGGTGAACAAGACCAGAAAAAGAAAAAAGAGGCAAAAGGGTTTTCTGGGTACACCCATTTGTGGGGGTGTTAATCGATCAAATCATGGTTGGTTTTGAAAGATTTTGAGGGTTTTTAGAGATAGGTTTTGGTAAAGAATGAGAAAAGATGGAGTTGGCTTGGAGTTATTGGCCCTTGAAGTGCAGAAGGTTTAACCAGAAAACACCAAAAAGTGCAGACGGTTTCTTCGCCCCATTTGAAACACGTGAAAAAGTGTGGTTAGTAACCACGGTTTTAAAGTGTTTCAGTTCATTATTTTGGACCACATTTTTTATTTAAAAGCGAAATCATTGATCCCGTTTTTTTAACAAAAGTGGGATTGTTGAATCCGTTTTTTAATAAAAGTAGAATTATTGACTCTATTTTTAAAAAAGTGTTGTAGTTTAGTAAATAAGTTTAAAAATGAGATATTTTAGTATATTTGTTTAAAAAATACAGTAATTTGATAAATAATTCGTTGGATTTGGGTATGCAACTTGGTTTAACAATATGCAGATTGGAAATATGGTTTGATTCGAAAGGGAACATTCATTTGCTTTGTGTAAGTGTGTAACCGAACCTTGTAGCGAATCTAATTATTTTACAGTGAAACCAAGGGTGCATAGCATGCTAACAAGCCCGAGAACCCAGTTTATATAGTGAGAATTCTGAGTTAGGATAGTTTGGTTTGGGCTTACTCGGTTTTGTTTCAAGAGATTCAGACAACAGTTCTACAAAGAAGGGAAAAATGAAAAGAAAGGGCAAATGACAGCCTAAAATATTATAAAATTCTCAATTCTCACCCTCAAAGATCAATTATTTCAAAGTGCACTCTCAATAAAATTAAGTCATAACGTCCGTTGTGATTTTTGACTGAGCACGTGAGATGTACGTGAAAAGAAGAAGTTTGTCGTAATCTAATAAAAGTCATCACGTGCATCTCATGTGGCTGTTAATTTGACGGGAATCATAACAGATGTTCACATTGCTACCAATTAATTTTATTGAGGGTGCAATTTAAAAGAAAAAGAAAAAAGAAATATTCGAAGTATTCAAGATCCATGAAAAAGAGGGGGAAAATAGTACTTTTTTTTCAATAAGGAGCGTGATAATTTTTATTTAACATGCCTCTCTAGGGTCCATTTGTTTAGCAAGATAATACTAGAAAATACAAGAAAGAGAAAATTTTAAAATTTTACATTTGTGTGTTTAGCATGAAATAGAAAATGATAGAAAAATAATTTTCTTCCATACTTAGATTTTCTCACATTTAACTAACTTTTTTTCTTGCAAAAAACACAAGAAAAAGCAAGAAAATTGTGTTCAATAACCTAACTTCCAATTGTACCCTTATTTTTTAAAAAATATTCAATTAGTTATTAATTTTAAAAAAATTTGTACAAATTAGACTAACCATATAATTTGGTATAGAGATTAGGGTTTGAGTAGATTCTAGTCTCTGAATTAGATTAGGAGCCATTTTTTTAAAATTTTGAATAATAAAAAATATTTTTTCTTTTTTAGACCGAGTTAAAATAATTAAAGATAATTTAGACAATTAAAAAAAAAATTCTTATAACTTCCCTTTCTTTCAAACAATGGAATAAAATTATTTTAAAATTTTCTTAGAAGTTTTTCATGCTAACCAATTGCATGCATGAAAATATATTTTCTTTCACTTTCTTTTCTTTTACTCCACTTTTTATATATTTTATTTTTTATCATCTTTTTCTTGCTAACCAAACGGACTCCTAATCAAATTTAATAAAACTTTTATCGGTAGGATTGAAAAAGCCCCAAATACAGAGGAGCCAAGTTATTGATTGGGCAGGTATTTTTATTTTTTGGAGAGAAAATGGCATTGGAATTTCAATTCCTAATTGTTGGTGCTCGTGACTCGTGAAGCTAAAAGTCGTTTGTGTTTTGGTAACGGAACGCGTCAATTTGGAGTACGGGATTGGAAAATGCAAAAAGCCAGTCAACTGGGTTGTTCGACCCTGTCTGTCATAGATAGAGGCTTAATCGAGGAAGATTAGGCCCAAAATATTTGGGCTTTAGTCCACTTGACTAAAACAAAAATATTTTGGGCTCACGAAATGGGCTAGATGCAACTAGAAAAACAATTGAACGGAACTTTCAAAATTTTGATTTCCAAAATGGAATAGATAATTAGATGTAAAAGCAACGGTCAAATTGCTTCTGATGAGAGATTGAGAGAGAGACAAAGACAGAGAGATGGGGAGAAGGAAAAGAACGGAGATCCCAGAAACCCAAATCCATGGAGGAGTGGATAGAGATGCAGAAAGAGAGAGAGAATCAGAAGTAGGGACAGAGAAAGAGAAGGGAGGAAAGTTCTTCGCATGCTATCTGCTGACTTCTCTCAGCCCCAGGCACAAGGGCCACACTTACATCGGGTTCGTCTAATCAACCGTTCGTTCATACTTTTCTTTTTCAATCTCTTTTAGTTTTCATCAGGGTCTCTTTAGTTNATTTCAATTCCTAATTGTTGGTGCTCGTGACTCGTGAAGCTAAAAGTCGTTTGTGTTTTGGTAACGGAACGCGTCAATTTGGAGTACGGGATTGGAAAATGCAAAAAGCCAGTCAACTGGGTTGTTCGACCCTGTCTGTCATAGATAGAGGCTTAATCGAGGAAGATTAGGCCCAAAATATTTGGGCTTTAGTCCACTTGACTAAAACAAAAATATTTTGGGCTCACGAAATGGGCTAGATGCAACTAGAAAAACAATTGAACGGAACTTTCAAAATTTTGATTTCCAAAATGGAATAGATAATTAGATGTAAAAGCAACGGTCAAATTGCTTCTGATGAGAGATTGAGAGAGAGACAAAGACAGAGAGATGGGGAGAAGGAAAAGAACGGAGATCCCAGAAACCCAAATCCATGGAGGAGTGGATAGAGATGCAGAAAGAGAGAGAGAATCAGAAGTAGGGACAGAGAAAGAGAAGGGAGGAAAGTTCTTCGCATGCTATCTGCTGACTTCTCTCAGCCCCAGGCACAAGGGCCACACTTACATCGGGTTCGTCTAATCAACCGTTCGTTCATACTTTTCTTTTTCAATCTCTTTTAGTTTTCATCAGGGTCTCTTTAGTTACAGCCATTAGAGTTCTGATCATAAGTACATTCTTCTAGCTTTTATTCTCTATGCAATACAAGGAAGGTCCTCGTGGGTTTTTTTTTCTCTTCCATTCTTTTTTACCCAATTTTTCTTGGGTTCATGTTCTTGCATAGAGTATGATAAAAAAAAGGCTGTATTCATCTATCATGGTAACAAAAAATTTCATGGATAATTAATTGATCTATTGGATTATAACTTGGATTGCTTTTATGGTCTTAATTTGCATCACAATTGGGTTTTTCTGAGTACTTTATGCTGACTGTTTGTCCTTAATTTGTAGATTCACAGTGAATCCGCGGCGTAGAATTAGGCAGCATAACGGGGAAATGAGGTCCGGTGCCTGGAGGACCAAGAGCAAGCGCCCTTGGGAAATGGTATTGTGCATATATGGCTTCCCTACCAATGTAGCTGCTCTTCAGGTACCTTATTCTCAGTTTAATTTGCTAGCCCTTGTTTAAACTCTTTCTTATAATTTCATTTTCGTATTGGTTGAAATAGTAAGCATTGATTTTCCTCTCTAATTTCTTGTGATTTCCCATCTTCCCTCCTATGTCTGCATCATAATGTTATGCATGATCTGTAGCCATTTGAATGTCTATCATTGGATATTGGCCACACCATGAAGTTACCATTATGCATGATCACTTATCGGTTAATGAGGTGGAGGTTTGTTTACTTGGTATTGCTCAATTCATAAATAATGATAAGGTTGGTTGTTGGATTGAAAGAAAAAAAAATTCAATGTTTCTTGGAAATTTCAGTCTTGAGCAAGAATTGGTGAACTCAGCTAACATTTTATTGAATGCGATTTTTGGTTTTTCTGTGATTCCAACTATTGAGCTTTAAAATCGTGTCTTATGATCTGATACTAACATGCCAAGTCCCTTCTCTAGCTGTGACAAACACATTCCCCCAATTGGGTTGCAAAATCTCTTTTCTGTTTCACAAGCTAAGATGAATGGAAAGAGCATTTAACTAACAACTGAATGTTCATTTAAAACTTGCAGCTTGAGTGGGCCTGGCAACACCCAGTAGAATCACTGGCTGTAAGGAAGGCAGCCGCAACATTTAAGTCTCTCTCAGGACTTGCCAATAAGATTAAATTGGCTTACACAATGCTTACCCTTCCATCCTGGCAGAGGTATGATACTTGTTTCTTATGGTTTAAATCCAATGTTTTTGTGGTACAATTGCTTACAATTTGCTACATGTGCTCAGCTTGAAGCTGACACTAAATTTTTTCTCAACGAAATACCAAAAGCATACTTCGGGTTGTCCAAGTTTACCAGAGCACATGAAGGTCCAAATTTGTTCCATGGATGAGCTTCCATGTTACACAGGAGGTGATTGGAATGCCTGTGAAAAAGATGAGTGGGATGATGATGAAGAATGTGATGAAACTGGTGGATTCCAGCGATCAACAACAGAAGGATCAGTGCATCCAACAAATCATAATTCTGCAGATACTTTTAATGGCATTGAAGAAAGTACTTGTCAACCAATCGGATGGATGGAAGAAAGTGGAGACGAACAAACTAGAGGGATAGAAGAATTTGGTGCGAGGCTGCCAAGGGACTCATCCAGTAGAATGAAAGAGCTTCGACAGCCATTTTGTCTCAACAAGTCCCCTGTGAGAGCATTATTATCATCTGAACATATCACAATAGAAATTGAAGATACGTTCAGATTGATTGAAGAGCATGGTTTTGAAATGGAACCGCCCGCTGCAAAACATTTGACCACTAAAATAGCTGCAGAAAAAAGTCAGCATTTGATAAAGAGTTATATTGCATCATCTGAAGTTGAAATCATAGATGTGTTTACTCCTTCGCCTGCCAACAAAATCATCTCAAGCAGCAAGAAGAGAAGATTCTCTACTTTTTGTCCCGAAATCATTGATTTGACCAAGTCACCCATTTTTGTTTAATTTTATAAATTCTAACATGTAACCTATATTCCATGGAAAAACAGGAATCCTTTTTTTTTTTTTTGGAATAAACATGGGCTACGTTTTGATATATTTTCTTACTGTAATTCGATAAGACAATATCTTCCTTCTTTGCAATACCACATTTCAGGGGTTTTCATAACTCGCTAAATAATCAGCAGTCAGCAGGATGTGGCCTACCAACTTCTTTGTTACGAAATTTGGATTGCAAGTTTTTCCATGATACATTGCAGGTGCAAGGAAAGCAATAGAAAGATGACCATATCATTGACATTTAAAGATCATCACAACTGTGCAAGAAAGGGAAAGAAAACGGAAGAAAAGGAAGCCAACAAGCACATATGCCAAGTTAAGGTCAGATTATTGAGAGGGAGGGACATGATACAGCCGTCAAGGAGAAAGGCAGATTATAGAAATTTACAGAGTACACAAACGTGAAAATTTTGAAATGTTTTGACAGTCAAGGTAACAACTGCTCCTGCAGTAGCAGCTGTTGTCACAGTTGTTATTGCTACAGTGGCTGCTCTGGTTTTTCATTAGTTTGCCATGCCCCAACAATAGGTTGGAGGCCAGGTCGTATACCCTCTTTCAACATCTTCTGATATTCCGATGTATCTCCACAAGATTTCTTCAGCTCCACCAAATGAAAGGAAGGAGCGAGTTCAAATATCTCAGCATCAATTGACAAGATTCCTTTTCTACCTTCCTTCATTCCTTCGAGTTTCAACAGCCCTCCATCCCTTCTACTCACCTTTAGTCTCAGATGCTTAGCAACTTCTTCCAGTTTAGAGATGATGACTGAGGCAGGTTGCCAGGATGTGAATCTTGCTACTTTTTTCAGACATGGTTCCTCAAACAGTCCAGATAGATCAAAACCAGGAAAAAGGGAGATCAAGTCAAATGCATTTAAGTTTGAAATCTTCACCAACTCTTGTTTTGCCTCAGCAGCCATAGCAGTATTCTCACATGAACCAGAAGGTACATCTATATTTGAAGAAGCCGTTTTCTGACTCTCTGTTGCACTTTTTGTTGATTTAGAGTTTAATCCCCTTTTGAACCAAGAATTTTCCTTAATATTTGCGATCGAGATCCTGGGATCTGGATTTGGATCCAATATTCTCAACAGTAGCCTGCGTACTTCAGGTGGAAACCCCTTGGGGCATTTAAACTCCGCTTGGCCTATCTTCCTATACATCTCCATTAAATTTGAATCATGAAATGAAAGATAACCAGCCAACAGAACAAATAAGATCACCCCACAAGACCAAATATCAGCTTTGACTCCATCATAGCCTTTCCTATTAATTACCTCAGGAGCAACATATGCAGGAGTCCCACACGTTGTGTGAAGTAGCCCATCTTGGTGCTTTGATTCAGCAAGGGCACTTAACCCAAAATCAGAAACCTTAAGATTCTCATTCTCATCTAAAAGCAAGTTTTCTGGCTTCAAATCCCGGTGATAGACAACCCTGCTGTGGCAGAAATCAACAGCATTGATCAGCTGTTGAAAATATTTTCGAGCAACATCCTCCTTTAGCCTTCCTTTAGCCACCTTACTAAAGAGCTCACTGTCTTTAGCATATTCCATAACAAAATAGATCTTGGTTTTGGTAGCCATGACTTCAAAAAGTTGCACAATATTAGGGTGTCTGACCAATCTCATGACAGAGATTTCTCGCTTGATCTGCTCCATGAGCCCAAATCTCAAAACCTTTTCCTTGTCTATTACTTTAATGGCCATGCTCTCCCCAGTTTTGAGACTTCTTGCATAGTATACCTTAGCAAATGTCCCTTGGCCTAGCAATCTCCCTAAATCATAACTTTTCATCAACACATTCACTTTGTTATCCATCTGAATGCTAAAGTTGCTAATATTAGATAATACTGCAGTCCCCTCCGACTAATATAATATCTGTAACATTCAGCTTAGGATTATTGAACAGCAAAGCAGCTCAACCGTCTTTGCACAGGCTGTGCATTAACACAAGGTCCATTTGGACACAGGGAGCAAATAAACTGCAATCTATATGATGACTATGAAGGATGCGGAAAGGCAGCTCTAGTAAGGCCAAATCCTTGTGGACTTCAGAGAAACGTTTCCGAACACTGGCTTTCCACATTCCCTGGCTTTTGTCTTCAAAATAATAAACAAGAGAATGCTAACAAGATAGATGGATGGGGAACTAAGAAACCTTCAACACAGCACTTGTTGGTGAAGCAGAGATATACCAAGAATAAAATTCGTTAGAAAACATGATATTTAGGCCTGGACCACCACAAGAAAAGGAATATATTCTTACTTCAAAATAACAGTAAAAAATGGATATAAAATCGCTAAGCATGTCGATTCAAGCAAAAGGTAGCAGCAGCAAACTCATAAGAATGTTGACACTGCAACCCTTGTGCAATTACGACGTTTCAATAATTTCTAAACGGAGTTTCATCACAATGATAAGAACATAAAACTGCAATAAACAATTGCTCTTCCATGTGTAATAACGATAAATTCAGGGATCAAGAATCACATTTTTGATTTATTGAACTATTTGTGACAAACATTAACCAGTACATGTAGGTTTAGTACAGACGAGTATAATTTTGTAATAAAAAAAACTAAAGGGGTAAGGGTTGTGAGCACGTTTCTGAGCTACAAATCTGCATTTTCAAGTGACCACCCAACACTAAAATGTTTACTACAATTTACCCCCCCCCCCCNCTAGCAATCTCCCTAAATCATAACTTTTCATCAACACATTCACTTTGTTATCCATCTGAATGCTAAAGTTGCTAATATTAGATAATACTGCAGTCCCCTCCGACTAATATAATATCTGTAACATTCAGCTTAGGATTATTGAACAGCAAAGCAGCTCAACCGTCTTTGCACAGGCTGTGCATTAACACAAGGTCCATTTGGACACAGGGAGCAAATAAACTGCAATCTATATGATGACTATGAAGGATGCGGAAAGGCAGCTCTAGTAAGGCCAAATCCTTGTGGACTTCAGAGAAATGTTTCCGAACACTGGCTTTCCACATTCCCTGGCTTTTGTCTTCAAAATAATAAACAAGAGAATGCTAACAAGATAGATGGATGGGGAACTAAGAAACCTTCAACACAGCACTTGTTGGTGAAGCAGAGATATACCAAGAATAAAATTCGTTAGAAAACACGATATTTAGGCCTGGACCACCACAAGAAAAGGAAATATATTCTTACTTCAAAATAACAGTAAAAAATGGATATAAAATCACTAAGCATGTCGATTCAAGCAAAAGGTAGCAGCAGCAAACTCATAAGAATGTTGACACTGCAACCCTTGTGCAATTACGACGTTTCAATAATTTCTAAACGGAGTTTCATCACAATGATAAGAACATAAAACTGCAATAAACAATTGCTCTTCCATGTGTAATAACGATAAATTCAGGGATCAAGAATCACATTTTTGATTTATTGAACTATTTGTGACAAACATTAACCAGTACATGTAGGTTTAGTACAGACGAGTATAATTTTGTAATAAAAAAAACTAAAGGGGTAAGGGTTGTGAGCACGTTTCTGAGCTACAAATCTGCATTTTCAAGTGACCACCCAACACTAAAATGTTTACTACAATTTACCCCCCCCCCCCCAAAAGAAAAAAAAAACAAACAAACTAATGTGTTAAAGAAAACCACTTAATTTTAAATTAGATAGGTTAGATAGGAAACCAAACCAATTGGGATTGGAAGCACCTTTATAAAAAAAAAAAATTAACCAAAAAAAAGAAAAAATAAATTTCTAGTAAATGAGAATTGAGTTTGATCAAGACTCATTCACTTTGTGCTTAAGGATTTTTCCATGTTTTCCCCTTAGATGTAAAGCATCATTCCTATAAATAAAAATTCAGTTTTATTTACCAAAAGAAATTTCTAAAGCCCAAAGTGCCAATTCCAAATTTTGACCAAATACTATTTCCTGGGAAAAAAATAAAATAAAATCGCAGACCTCATCAATACAAAACGAAAACATGGAAAACAACAATAATTTTACTGTACTCTGTATGATCAACAGGCAGACGATACGATATATCAAAAAATGTACGCGCACAAGATCGTAACGACTAACGAGAATCCCCGCAACCACAAATTCTAGGTCTATGAGCCTAATTAAGCATAAGCTTTAGAATACTAAACCATAAAAGCAATCAATTTCTTTAATTAACGAGCATAAATTCCAGATAATTTAAAGCAAAAATTATAAATAAACAGAGCTGAATATCAGATAACCTGTTCTGAACTGAGAAATTTAAGTATGATAATAGAAAACCTCGGCTATTGTCTGCTGGTCCAAACTCCACCGAGACTCCGAGAGAGAGAAATTACCGGCGTTCTTGTGCCTGTAAAATATCTGCCAGATCCGGAATATCCCTCCCTGCCGTGGCTCGTGTCTGACGTGTTTTGCATCACATGAATAAAAATAAACATACGATGATAATGTACAAATATCAACTTGTCAAAGTAGAATTAAGAGTAAATTATGCAAATGGCCCTAAACGAAAATTTTTTAGCAATTAAGTCCCTAAATTAATTTTTGTGTCAATTGAGTCCTTAAACTCAAAAATTTGAGCAATTAAGCTCCTAAACTAATTTTTGTATTAATTGAGCCCCTAAACTTTAAAATTTTAGCAATTAAGTCATTTTGTCAATAACCGTTACAAAATATTTCACGCGCTCACCACGTGCATAACAGATTAAGGGTATTTTAAGTTTTTCATTCGAAAACTTATCAGACGAAGAATCTCATTCTTTATACTCATCAATTGAAACCCTAAAACTAAACCATTTTCATACCCATCAAACGAAGCAAATCAACAAGCTCTCTAAAGAGCCAACATTTATGTAATTTGTTTTCTATACTAGATCGAAAAATTTAAATAAAGCAATTGCATGGCTGCTAACCTTGCATGAGCCATGGTTTTAATGTGAGTTGAAATTCTTCGAGACTTGAACTTCTTCACAATGTATTCATTCATACCCAACTTCCTTCTATCTTCATGTACATTTTGATCACCTTGAACTTCTACTCTTATTGCTTGATTGGTGTCTTCAGCACTTTCAATAGAAACAACCAAAGTCCCATAAAACATTTGTATATAGTGAACAAAGATGCCCGCCACCATATAACATGATCGGGGTAACCATTTGACAATAATTACCACATTCAGCTCTGAAGTAGTAGGTAAGTGGAAAAAATTTTAATATAAGAAATAGGCAACCAATAGAATTATTGACATAAGAGGTCATGCTCACCCAATATGGTAATCTCGCGGCAAGTAAACATCCTTGAGAGGACCAAATTCCCCAAATGGCCCACGGAGATCTTCGGTCCTGCAAGCAAAAGAAAAGAAAATTCATCATTTCAACACAAAACACCAATATGATTCGTCATAGGCCCATCTTTTAACATTCGAGCTGAATCTACATAGATACCCCTCGCTCACAAGGAGGAAATTAACATTAAGAGAAACGAGAACGAGCAAATGCGTGCTGCCACCCCATGCAGAAAAAAAAATAGACAGAGTATCTAAATCTCTTCAAATACTACTATTGGAAAATTTTCCATTTCACATGACCAAGACCTATTGTTAATCTTTATGCAACCCTATAAAATCTGATGATGCACAAATTGGGTTGGCACACTACCTGTCAAGTATGAATAACAAATTGAATAATTAAAGTAGAGAAAAGACGAGAATTATAGTGGTTCAGTCAAAGTGATCTACGTCCATTTTCGAATGACTAGGGTCGCCGGATTTTCTATTAACTCAAGTGTGCAAGGAGAGCAAAGAGTTACAAGCTTAGAGAGGGAGATGAGAGAGTTGTGCTCAACAGAGTGTGATCTTGGCCCCCAAGTGTTGGTGGAGCTTATAATTTATAATTGTTCTCCTAACAGATTTGGGCGAGGTATTAGAAACTAAATAACTATTCTGGTAGAGCTCGCGACTTCTTCTCAACGGGTGATGCTCTCCATGAGATTCGATTAAAGATGAGGTGAGGATTGACTATTTTCAAGGCGGTGAGGGTGAGGCTCCCGGATGCTCTCTTGATGACGTAGCCAAGCTGATAAGTTTTACTAGGCCTAGGCCTGCTAGGTCTTTATAAATTTGAGCTCTTGATTATGGTTGGGCTTTCCACATGAATTATGTCATTCGAGCTTGACCCATCATTTGTCCCCCAATGCCCCTTGTCTAAGGAAACTTGGAGAATGGGGCATTAGTTTGAATCTTGAGCTTCTGGGTGGTGGAGACTCCCTCTGCTCGATGACTCTTCCCCTTCACAATATTTTTTTTGCCTGGGTGAACACTTCAAGTTTTTCCCATTTTTTCTTGGTTTTTAAGAGAGCTCTTGATTTTCAATTTGGGCTTTTTCCCTCTTTGAAAACCCTAGACTATAAATAGAAGCTTCCTTCTCATTCTACCCATTTCCTTCATCTTGAGATTGAAAACCCATTCTTGAAAACCTTGAGAGCCCAAGTTTTACCCTTTCCATAGAAACTTGAAAGGGTGAAGAAAGGTGCTCTCCTTGAATCCTTCCAAGAATATATATATATATATATATATATATATATATAGGTGAGATTTCTTCTTTTTGAGTGAAGTATCCAAGTGGGCAATGTTGATTGAGGAGAGAGATATGCAAAACTCTGTTGGAATGGCGGAGATCGAAGGAGAAATTAGAGATGGGGAGTCTTGGGCACAGCTCAACGAAGAAGAGGAAACTGAGAAACAGGGAGACGGGCTGGGCAGCGGCTTGATGCGTGCGCAGGCCAACAGGGGAGCTGCCTAGGCCAACGGGAATGCTGCCCAGGCCTTTGAGCAAGCAGCCCTTGTGGTAGGCGAGAAAGGTGGGCAAGCAGGTGGTGTCCTGGACAGCTTGGGCAAGCTGGACAGCGGTCTAAATGGGCATGCAGTCCAGTCTAGCAGTGTTGTTCGCACAATGAAGTAGTGGGGAGAGTTGGTCGACCAGCCCAGCAGCTTGGACGAGCATAGTGAAGGGTTGGGTGCCACTTTGGCGTTGGTTTGGTAAGTCTAGGCGACCAGGGAGCTATGCAAGCGCCACTAGGCGCTGATTTGTCTGGTCCAAGCGATCAAAGAGGAAAAAAGAGGGCTGATTTGGGTGATCTGAGTGCACAGGCTGATGTTCTAGGTGCCTTGGCCGAGCAGGGAGATACACTGGGTGAGCCTGCTGCGCTGGGAAGCCCATTAAAGGAGTAGAGGAAGGTGCTAAGCACGCGTGTAGGCGACGCAAGGGGTGCCGACAGTTTGGGCTAGCATGAGTATGCCTTGGGTGCTAACTTGGGGTGTCCAGGCAACCAAGTAGCTTTGGGCGTCCCATTAGGGAGTTCAGTTCGTGCCCATGCAGGCGGGGCGGACCAGGCACTTTTTGGAGAGCCTGGTTCTAGAGTTAGGGGACAGAGGACGCTAGACATTTTCAGCGATGATGGTCCAACTCCTCCGAGTACACCTTCTCATAATCAAATCCCTCCGGGCCTCTTCGTTAGTGGCTCAGTCGACTCTTCACGCCCTCGTACCAAGAAGCACAAAGGCAAAACAGTTATTGACAGCGATGGGTCTAAAGTAAGTACCCTTTCTAGTTTGCTTAATTCTGATGACGATATTCTGAGGATTATTTCTGCTTACCATATTCGTCCAACTGTGCTATGCTGCTGGGCTGAGAGGGGTGAGCTTGCTAGTGATGACTCCTCTGGTGATATTGTCATTTATGAGGAGATGCTTAAGGCTGGGCTTAGGTTCCCAATGCCTCCTTCCGTTTGCGGCATCTTGAATTACTTTTCACTGACACCTGGGCGACTGGTGCCCAACGATTGGAGGGTTTTGCTGGCCTTTCTGGAATTGTGGAGGAAAGTTCACCATGAAGATGCCTCTCCTACCGAGTTTCATGTAACTTATTACCTGAGTGAGACTCTTGCTCCAAACCGGGGCTGGTTCTATTTTACTCCGAGGAGATGCAAGTTGATTACTGAACTGCCCTCCAATTGCTATAGTTAGAAGTCTCATTTCATATTCGTTGGTGGAGAGTGAATTTCAGAGATTGATAGGGCATTAGTACCATCACGGTGGGTTGCTCCAAAGAAAATTGGTACGCCCCATATACTCACCCTTCTGTTGCCACATTCCTTATAGGTTGTGTACTCACCAAGCTCCTTGCAGGTTTTCCCGTGCTTACCAAAGATCTAGAGTGAAAACTGCAAGTTGTGCGAACTCATCCTATAAGGGACTTTGGAGCTCTCATGCTCAAGGATGGAGGAGTGAGTGCTTCCCCTTCGTTCACGCTGAAACCACTACTCCCTCTTCGAAGAGGAAAAGTGAGTTGATTCTTTTATATCCTCTTTTTTTTGTAACATTTTCTTTCCTTTACAGCGATAGATAGAAGAGTGATTGGGTCCCGTCTCTCTGGTAGGAGCCCTCCTCCTTCCAAGGTGGCGAGGACGGGTGATGCTTCCTAAGTAACATTTCCAATGGCTCCGTCCGAGGCAAGCTCTCTTCAAGCAACCCCTCTAGTGAAGCCACAGGTGCGCTCCCATCAAGCGACTCCTACGATGGTGCCTCCTCACCCGACGACCTCTTCAGTTGCAATTGCTACTCCAGATTCTTCCTTGTCGGCCACACCTTCTACCCCACGTTGGTCCCCTCCTCGTGTGGGAACTTCTACAAGGGCACCGTTTTGGGCTATTCCTATGCTAGGCAAACTGCCAATCATTAAGGAAAGGCTTGGAAAGTTTGTGTTTCCACCCGAAGTTACTCAGATTAGTACTCTGGGAACCGAGGGGGTTGTCAACACATTTTTGGAAGGCCTAGCTCAGGAAAGGGTCTGCTACTTCCCTTTCTCCAGTCCTTTCTTATGTCTTTTAACATTTCTCTATCTTTTATCTTTTTTAGGTTTCGACTTCATATATCTGCTTACTTTCAAGGGCCTATGCTCATGGTAAGCTGAAGCAAGATCATGACGTTGCGCAAAAGGAGCTTCTTACTACTCTGGGAAGGATTGCCGAGCTCGAAGCTGCTAGTAGGAATTCTCAGGTTGAGCTTGTGGCGACTCATGAAAAGGCAACTAGACTTAAGTCTGAGCTTTTGGCAACCCGTGAGAGGGACACGCTTAGAGAGGATAAGCTTGTTGAGGCTCGTGAGAGGGCAACTAAGTTTGAGACTGAGCTTTTAGCGACCCGCGAGAGGGACGTGCTCAGGAAGGCTGAGCTTGCAAAGACCCGTGGGCGGGCCATGCTCAAAAAGGCTGTCGCAGAGGCAGAGGTGAAGGCTGCTCAGGAGAGAGCTTCTCGAGCTGAGGTGGACTTGGAGAATGGCATCGCAGATGCTTTCATTGATGGTTATAAAGAGCTTCAAGGAAAGACTTCTGCTGCTTTTCCTGATATTGACTTCTCAGGCTTCGTGCCAACTGAGGCACCTGATGATAGTGATGGAGGCTCTGATGATGTTGAGGATGACGTAGAGGAGGTGGAGGACGACCATGAGAGTAGTTAGAGTGTTAGGACTTTTGATTTTTTTTTTTTTAAGAAAGGCAGTTTGTAGCCTTACTTTTGTACTGATACTTCTTTGAAATTGAATGAAAATGCAAAGATCTTTTTTTTTGGAGTAAAACGTAGAAAATTTTATTTATCCACTACTTATATGAGGCAATGTTGGGTAATAATCCCCAAAAAAGTACATTGAATATTGGGTAATAATCCCAAAAAGGTAAAAAATAAAATCAAGTCCCAAACTTCTACTACTTTGATTTTCTCAAGGTGTCATTGGTAGTACCTCTTCAAGTGCTCCACGTTCCATAGATGGAGTAAGACCTTCCCCTCAGAATTCTAGATCTTGTAGGTGCTTGGCCTCACCACTTCTGTTATGAGGTAGGGTCTTTCCCACTTTGGTCTCAGTTTTCCTTCGCATGAATCCTTTGTGGCGAGGATCACTTTCTTNGATAGGGTCCTTCACACTTTGGTCTCAGTTTTCCTTCGCATGAATCCTTTGTGGCGAGGATCACTTTCTTGAGGACCAAGTCTCCTGGTTGGAAGGAACGAGGCTTCACCCTCGAGTTATAGTACTTCATCATGCGTCGTTTGTATTCCACATTCTGGACCACAACCATCTCCCTTGCCTCCTCCACCAAGTCGAGGTTGATGTGAAGTCCTTCCTCATTGGTGATAGGGTCGTGGTGTTGGACCCTTAAAGAGTGTACCCTTATCTCCACTAGGATGACCGCCTCAGTTTCAAAGGCGAGGGAGAAAGGGGTTTCCCCAGTAGGAGTTCTTTGCGTGGTTCGATAAGCCCATAATACTCCTAGGAGCTCGTCAACCCAAAGACCCTTCGCTCTTTCAAGCCTTTATCTTTAGGTTGTGTAGCACCANTAGCGTGGTTCGATAAGCCTATAATACTCCTAGGAGCTCGTCAACCCAAAGACCATTTGCTCTTTCAAGCCTTTATCTTTAGGTTGTGTAGCATCATTCTCACCATGACTTTTGCTTGTTCATTTGCCTATGGGTGTGTTGGGCTAGAATGAGGCTGTTTTATCTGAAGATCGGAGCAGAAAGAGTTCAGGAGTTTTGTTGTCAAACTGCTTAGCGTTGTCATTGACGATGGCGTGGGGTATCCCGAAGCGACAGACCAGGTTTTTTCAGATAAAATCTTTCACCTCCGTGTCTGTTATTTTTGCTAAGGGTTCTGTTTTTGCCTACTTCGTGAAGTAGTCGATGACGACCATTACGAATTTACATTGTGCTCTACTGAGAGGTAGGGGGCCTAGAATGTTGATGCCCTATTTAGAAAAAAGCCACGGACTTGTTATGGTTGTCAGCTTCTCTGGCGGCTGACACTTGTCGCACTTCTTGGTGAACTCCTGGGCGTCCCTCACCATACTAAGCCAAAAATATCCTTGTCTGAGCGCCCTGTGGACGAGGGAGCGTCCTCTAGAGTGATTCCCACAAACCCCTTCATGGATCTCCCACATGGCATAATTGGCTTCTTTTGGTGAAAGGCAACGCAGTAACGACAAGGAGTAGCCTTTCTTGTACAGGGTCTCTTGTAAAATGGTGAACTTGGAGGCTCTCATCCTGAGCTTCCTGGCCTCTAGAGGGTCATCTGCCAGCGCACCTTCTTGGAGGTATGTCTTTATCAGGGTCATCCAGTTTGATTCAGCCGAAGCACAGTTAACGTTTATGGCTTCCACATCTAACTTGCTTGGCTCGAACTGGTGACCGATGAATACTGATCCTCCTAGTAGGGCTTTCAAAGATGAGGCGAGCCTGGTGAGTGCATTTGCGGTCATGTTGTCTTCTCTCGGGATATGAAAAATTTGGAAGTATTGGAACTTTGTGATCAAACTTTTCACCATGCTGAGGTATTCTTGCATTCTGGCTCTTTTTGCTTCGAACTCGCCCTTTACCTGATTAACTATCAACTGAGAATCACTGTAAATGGCGAGGTGCTGAGCTTCCATTTCAGCTGCTAATCTTAATCCAGAGAGGAGGGCTTTATACTCTACCTCATTGTTGGAAGCAGTAAAGTGGAGCTTCACTGCATACTTGAGGGGAGTACCGTCGGGGCTGATCAAGATCAAGCCTGCTCCTCCTCCCTCACTGGTTAAGAAGCCATCTATATAAAGCTTTCAGAGTGGTAAAGAAGAGGGATCATAGATTAAAGTTAGAGCTTGGGCATGAGGATGGGCGCCTGGAAATGCCTCGGTGCTTGAGGAGGAAGGTTGGGTGCCTAAGGTGGAGACCTGGGCGCTTGAAAAGGAGACCTGGGCACCTAGAGAGAAGATTTGGGTGCCTACAGAGGAGAGTTGGGCGCTTGGGGAGGAGAAATGGGTGCCTACGAAGGAGACCTGGGCACTTGGGGAGGAGACCTGGGTACCTGGGGAGGAGCCTTGGGCACTTGAGGATGAGAGTTGGGCGCTTATGGAGGAGACCTAGGTGCCCGCGGAGGAGAGTTGGGCGCCTGAGGAGGAGAGTTGGGTGCTTGGGATGGCCTGGGCTCCCAGTTTGGGCGCTTGAGAGTCCTTGTTAGGCATCTGGGTGTCCTCGCCGGTCGAGGTAGAAGACTCGTTGCTCCGTTCCTTTGCTGGTGTAAGCTCAGCAATGAAATCCGTTGGGGCTTGTGCTTTGATGGCTGCCGTTGGTTGGTAATGAACATCGAACTCGCCGAGTTCCACTGCCACTTAAGAAGTCTACCGAATATGTCCAGCTTCCGCA